ATCTATACGATAGTAATAGTCGAAACGAATATACCGGTTCACTTTATTCACTCGATACGAACTTTCTCCATATTCATAATTCAATTTTCAAGAACGATATTCGAGGAAGAAATATTATTAGCACTTTCCATTTACGAATATCGAAAAAAAAAGTATTGATTAGTTGAGAGAAATGCGAAACAGCCGAGGATATAATTAATAAAGATTTTATTAATATCTGCTGCAGAATTAGAAAGTAAATTGAGGGAAACTTGCCATCTTCTAATACATCTAAGTGACCTCAATGATCATCACTATATGTCTCGCTAACTCCTATTTTCTCGAAAGTGTTCGCTTTTATCCTAATTTCTATAAATACGAATTTCAAATTGTGATGTTCCATGTCCTCGTATTGTTCGCTGTTTCGAAATTTTCGTGAGCGCAAGATTCAGCTATTAAAGGCTTCAACCGATCGTTTCCGATTATTGCCGAGCCAATCCGAAGTTAAATTGCCACTCATACGCCGAATCGAATTTCGCGATTCCGAATAATATGAGGAGAGCTCGTATATAATTTCAGAATCCCATTTAATATATATCTTTGTACGATTCTGTGATAATTGTTATATAACGGAAGGAGGAAATATAATTTACACGCTTATTAATTTCTAATAATATATAGTCATTATAATTCACGTAAAATAGTACAGAAAGGCGACCTTGAACGACTAAGACATACGACTTCCGCCTCGACATATCGCTATCATATACTCTAGTTTTCACCATTTACCACGGTAAAATATGAGACTATATACGATGATGAATTCTAACGCTCGTTTAGTTTCTATGTGAGGAAATGCTTCATATACGGAATAGGATGCGGGATATACGTATATTTCGCGATACACAGTGTACCACAAAACCACAAGAGCAGAAAGGACCTCTTTGTCAGAGGCACGTCGCATAAGACGATATTACGCGATAAGTTTGTTTGCGGACCCGTCGACAACACGAAACCCACGTGTTATCATTGAAACTGTTGATAAAACTGCTTTATCTGTGTGGTCTATACGTCACGACGTGGATTTATTTAAAGAATATGATATCGTAACACTTTGTGTTCTGAACACGTTCGCGAACCGTTCAACAACCCAAGCCTAATTTGTCCATCGTTCCTTTATAAATAGAATTATTAATTCAACGAGAGAATATTTATTTACGATAAAAAAAAATTTGCTAGTTAATTTTCATACAAATCTTAATAAACGAAAAGAATTCAAGCAAACCGATGAAACGAATAATGCGTACTCGACTGTTCTTTTCTTTCATTCGTTGATCATTTCTACGTTCGTTAAAATGAAAAAGGGAAGTTCGAAATCGAATTATATCAGAATTAAGAATCGATTCGATAAATATCCAATTTGTCCCGATTTCTTGACCAGCTATCCAATTCTTACTTATTTCTTGCGAAAATTGCAACACGTTACGTTGTCTCGAGGCCGTTTAGCACGCCACAGTGTCTCCGTTTTGGCGAGCTAACCGCCGCGTGATTCACCGAGGAAGCCGATCGCGGCGCGAAACAACATCGTGACTCATCGGGTCCACTCGGTTTCAACCTAGCGACTATACACTAATGCTGTTCCCGCTTACTTTCCGCGTAGTTGGGCCGTGCGCGACACACATTACTGCTCTGTCAAGTGTGTACAACCAACACGTATACACGTATACACGTGACCAATCGACCACCAATCACTGAACCATTGTCTTTTCTATTGCTCTAAAGAGATCTTTAGAAAGAAGGAGAGATCTTTGAAAGAGCAAGAATTTTCTGTTTTTTTTTTTTTTTTATTTATTTCTTACAAGTGTTACGGAACAATTCGTTCCTCTATAATTGGTGATACGGTTTGCCTTAATGTTTCTGATTCTAAGAACGATAATGAATGCTAACTCTTCCTGGTTTTATTTTGTTTTCTTTTCTTTTTCTAAATTTTTAATAGAATTCTTTCAATAGAATTTTCATTTTAAATTTTCGCACAATGAAAATAAATTTTTTATAATCTATTAATTTTAAGAAAACTTGTTTAACTTATTCGATTTGATAACAATTAATTTGCAATTTATCATAAGGAAAAAGTAAAATTTATTGGAAATCTAAAAATATTAATATCGAAAAAAAGTATTATGATAAATATTATTGAAAAATATAAAAAAAATCGTATTGAATATACGAAATAAATAATATGTTCGCAAGAAAGAAAAAAAGAAATAATTGTATGAATTATTTATAAGAAGAAAATTTATATTTTTCGTATTTTGATACAAGAAATTTTTAGAGATCTTTAAAAAAAATAGGAAAAAAGTTTAAATATTAAAATAGTAAATTGAATATTCATAATAATAGAATAATAAAAATAATAGAATAGTAAATATAAATAAGAAATAAAAATATAAAGTGAGAAGCGAAATAAAATTTAGAAATTTAATAAAACTTTGAAACATGGATCAAATTCTGGAATAGTATTAAAATGTACTTTAACTATTTATATATATATATTTACCAATCATATTTTAAATATAAAATACTATAGAATATTATTTATCAATTATTATATCTTTGAAACTATTTATTTATATATTTATTTGAAAGAAAAATCTATTAATTAAATGAATTTAAAAAGAGAAACACAAAAGTTCTAACAAAACAATAATAACTTAAATAATATTCATCTTTTCATTATTACACTTATAATAATATTCTTTTCTTAATATTTTTTAAAAAGAACATTGTTTAATTAATTAACTTTCTCCGTAACCATGATTTTGTTGAATCTGTTCTCTCTTCATAATATGTTTCCTATTTTTCTCTTTATAGTTATTTTTACGTTCTAAAAATTACATTTTCTATTAATGAAATAGTATATAGTTTTTTTTCTTAATGTTATATTTTTATTTAAAAGTTTATTTCTTAATTTCTTATCGATTGTCAAAAATATATAATTTTTTTAATCAAATAGTCTATATTAAACGGATCATCGAATATAATTCACAAACTCGATAATTCACTTTCAAAAATTTTACCAAGAAAGATGTATCTCGACAAATATAAAGAGTTTAAAAGAGATATATTTTTAAATGATACGTTGCAGTGATCGAAGATATTAAATCTTTTCATAAGACGATAAATTAACATTTCTAATAGTTCTTAAAAATAATGATATACCTAATTAAAACAAACTGATATATATATTTAATTTCTGATGTACTTTTTTGTTTTTTATTTATTCCTTCTGTGTCGCAATAAAATAATACGTTTTTTAACCATATAATGCGGTTGAACAGAAATGAAAAAAAAAAAATAAATAACAAACCACAAAGCATTAAAAACTTTAAAAAAAAGTTTTGAAAGCTATCTCGTCACAGAGAAAATCAGTTCATGTAAATCGAAAAACTTCTGTCTGGTAGAACGGAAAAAATAAGCAATTATATATTTTACAGTATAGTTCTTTTACGGTTCGTTTCTATAATTAACGTTTTGCGCACTGTCGATGCGTAAAACTAGCATGGAAATACTTAAATCGGTCATATGCGAAGATATCGCGATTTATCGCGTTGTACTTTCTTCTTTTAAGGGTAGTTTATGTATGAAAAACGTAATTGGTAGTTGTGAGAGATTAATTTTATCGTAACGATAGCGATATAGCCATGTTTCCATATCGTGAAAATTCGATAAAGTAGTAAAATATAAAAGACTCGAATCATTCGATAAAGATAATTTTGAAAATACATCATTAAAACTCATTACAAAACGAGATTCGAAAGATATATGTATGTCAAGATGATAATGTGAAACTAAATTTTTTGTTTTCTTAGAATAATTCAAAATAATAATTTTATTTTAAAATTTGTTATTTAAAAATCGTATATATCTTTCGAATTAAAATAATAATCGTAAATCTATATTGATATAATGAATAATATATACTATTATTCTAGATATATAAATATTTCATTTGATAAAAATATAAAAATATACGTTAAATGCAATATCGACTTATTATTAAACATGACAAACATAATAATAAATAATCACAAGTATAGTATAATTAAAAAATTACGTAAGAATAATATGATACATTCTTAATTATGATTCTACAAAAAGAGGTAAATCTATTTAAATCTACTGGTAAGCAACAAAACAGAAATATAAAATTGAACAAATACAAAGCTATCTTGTTTTACGATTTTTTAACTACTTACATTATCTTAAATAACACATTATTGGTAAAATATTTTTAAAAATATCGACAACAATTCGCGTCATTGATAGATAAAAAAATAATAAAGTAATGTAATATAAGCGAATGCGTGAGTATATTCAAGTTTATACATGAAAAAAAATTATTCTTTTATCGATAATCTTATAAGTGATATAAGTTTATATAAGTTTTCTTGATTATTCCTCTCTGTTACATATATTACGATAAAAAAATAAAAATAATAAATTCAGAAACGATAAACATTTGACAAATATATAGATATTTTTAACATGGCTATTTGAAACTATATTTTCACATAAAATATCGATATCATTAACATACGCGATTTTTGTTAACCTTATTGAATAATCGACGAAATAATCGACGTTGTCATCATTGTCAGCAATTTTTATAAATACGAAAACGAAAAAGCGAAAAAGGGAAACACTGTGCACTCAACATTCTATCCACGCGTTATTTTCAGGACAGTAGCGGACGAAATTTTAGATGACATCGTATATAGAAATGCACGACACAATTCCGCGATGACACAGAAAGTCCCGGAGATTACTTTCTCTCAGAAAAAGGGAAAAGACAAGACGATTATTAAGAGCGAGGCAAAGTAACGTACCGGAGCGAAAGAGCGTCAATCTCGACGGGGAGGTTAGGCCGAACATCGAGGTTAACCTTTATTCCGTGACTCCGGTAATTCTTATTGTCGAAAAAATTGTTGCCGAAAGTGAAAATTTCACTCGAAAACACTTACCCCATAAACCAGTCCACGGTATCGCGGAGATACTCGGGTAACCTATCCAGCTTGGATGATTTTCAGTTGGATCACCGCTGAGGAAAGTAGCACGAGAGTCGAGAAAACAAAATAAATTCTCTCTCTCTCCACTAGCACCAGCAGCAGCAGCGGCGCACGTTTCGCGATCTCGTAAAATCTAACATGGCGAAGCTCTATTGTCACCTGTTCCCGTCATGCCTCACTTGGCCCCCTTCACAAGAAAATACTACCGATTTATCGCCGCCACCGCGTACTATCGTTGCTGTATTTATGCCACGACTCGAATTCTATGCTTGTTACGTGACCTCACAGATCTATGCCGATCGAGCGTAAGACTCTGAATGTGCACGACACCACACCACAAGGGGAAAATCTACCTCAAATCGCACAGCTGATCAGCCGACGTCGAGAAACAGCTCACTCTCACACCCCCGTTTTAATACCTGACAGCAGAGGGTAGTACCTACCGCGCGTATGAACTTACAAATGATTCTAACAAAGGCATTGAGTATGTAATAGACAGATGATAAACTATTTCAAGTCGGTAACAACATTTTTTCATGTATCATTCTTTATTTATAAAATTAAATAATTTTAATATTCATAAATATTATGTTTTTCATAACAAATTTTCTTTTCACTGTTTCATTTTTGCTAAGAATTTATAATTCTTATTTAAAATTAATTTTATTGATAAATTTAAAAATTAAATTTTAAATGAATTCATCTATGGTTAAACGATAACTACCGATAAAATGTACATAGATGGCAGTATTTACCATATAGAAATTACATTCATAAAATGTAAAATAGACAGTATAGACAAGGTATAAAATACATTTAACATTCATTGTATTTTTATATCAATGCTCATGTTTAAGAGACTCCAGAGCCCCCTTACCATTTTAGTATTATTTTTAATGTTATCGATTTGTCATAATATTTTGTCTGTGATTATTGCAAAGAGTATTACTGCAAAATTATAATTAATAGTTGAAATTGAAATTAAATTTTAATATGAAGTTGTAAATAAATTGCAAAATATTAATATATCGACAGAAATCGTATATTTTTATCGGATGATTTCTAGTTAAAACAAATAAAAATATTGATTATTATTACGCATTCAAGAAGTTAATTAAACAAGATAAAAATATATAATTTAATAGCTTTATCATTCTCTACTACATAAAAAGTATAATATAAAAATATTTCTAAAATGATTTTAAAATTGAAAATAATACATTTTTTTAAAAACAATAAATTTAATAAATGATAAATTATATTATAAATAAAAAATTTTTATAAAGTTAATAAATTTAATAAATCGTAATATTAAAAATCATTATACGACTCTTAAATGAACAAATTACAAAATTAATTAATAAAGTATTAATAGAATATTGAAAATTATAACATTTAAATATATCATATTTTAAAATATTCGTTTGAAGTTAAACTAAAAATCATCTAGTATTTTTTAAATAGTTCGTTACTACACTCGATCTTGTCCACTGAGTGAAAGTTACCGAGTGAGAAAAAACTATAAAAGTTTAGTTCCGTTGCAACTGCGATATTGTTTAGATTATTCGAGTTCAATTTCATATATAATTTATATTCATACACGAATTTTATTATTTAAAGTATGCATGTATGATTCATAAGTATTTTAAGTATATTTATTAGTTATTTATTAGTATGTATAATAATTTTGTAATTTTATTTACGAAATATTGATATATTTCATCGATATTATGAACGGATAACTATTGTTGGATCATTATCTATAAACGATAAGTCTCTTACATTTTACTATATAAGGTAATTATTATTTAAATGTATATAATGTATTTAAATGTATATAAAATAAATGAATTGAAATTGTATTTAAATTAAATTTTAAAAACATAAAGAATAAATTATTTTAAATATTTTAAATATTTATTCATATTATTATTTTATAATTTTATATAAAATCGCAATCAATATATTTTAAATATTTTTTTTATAATTATAAATTAAAAATTAATAGCATAAAACAATAAATATAATTTTAATTTGTAAGAATATATATCAATTATTATATTTATTGTAATAACAAATTATTAATAAAAAAGCAAATAAATTAATAATAAAAATTTAAAAAATGTGAAAATACTAATCATTATTTAAAAAATCAATCTCAATTATTATCTATTGCTTGTAGAATTATTTTCAAAAAGATATCAAGAGATGGCGCTGATGGTTTTATCCTATTTCTATTCTTTATTTGCTATTCTTTTTTTGTTTCATTTACAGCATTTTTACATTTTTACATTTTTTAGTACATATTACCGACAAGATATTTCTGATACAAATAAAAATCAGTAAAGTTAATTTAATGCATGAAGATGCAATACAAAGAATCATTAATTATTTTGATATTGCAGATACACAGAACTGGTCTGTGCTCGAGTGTAGCCTGGAACCTTAATAATTAATTAAAAAATATTAATTTATATAATCATTATGATATCATGCACAAAGAAAAAAGACCAAATTCATATTTTCAGTTTCTTTTCTTTTCATTTTATTTCTTTGTGAAAAATCTTTTTTGTTCGATATTCAATAAATATTTAAGTCCATATTTCGATTAATAATATCTTAAGATAAAATGAAGCAATATCTCGATTCATTCAATAACAGATAGTTGATATAATACGAATCATATTATGCAATCATATAATACGTTCAATATAGCTACTATTTATGCATGGAAAACAGTTAGTCTATAGAGATCATAGAATCAACACCTGGACTAGATCTTTTGTTATTATTATTTCAGTTATTATTATTCAGCTATTTTTCATTTTTTTTAATATTATTAGCAATTGATTAATTCATTATGAATGTCATTATTTATCGATTTTCGATCAATGTTGAAAATTTCGAAATAAAATTTTCTAAGTTTTTATACTTTACTTTTAAGATATTATCATAGACGAAGTTTACTATTAATCTACGTTATTTTAAATGTAAAAGAATATCTAATACTAGTGATTTTTTAAAGAATTAATCGTCGATTTATATATTTATCAGATATTAAATAATTCGATTCATTTGTTGCTACGCAAGAATCGTCACGAACGCCGGCTGTCGTACGAGCAGATTGCAAGCACCTGTCCACCAGAAAATATCCACCGGTGGATATTCACAACGAAGCTGCCACGGCAGAAGGTTTGTCAGCTGCTACTGCAGCTGAGGTAACTGATCGTCTTTGCTCGAGATGACGATAATATAGATCAACGAATTTACTTTCTATCTTCCGCGTGGACCGTGCGCGTTTCGTTCTCAAATTTCTTCACCGCCTGCCATCACAATCCACAGATTTTTCAATCTTTCGATCACTCTCCTAGTCTACATATTTTCTATGTAGATTGTATTTCGTCATTAAACGGTCGAGTGAACCTAATACATATTGTTTTCTAGCCTATATGCGTCCAAGGAATTGATCATCGTTGATCGATTTTAGACAAAATCCGTATGTTGATCGGATAAAATATCTTATTTTATATTGAATAGTTTTTTTCTTTTATGATAATAATTTCAATAATCATCGACAAATAAGAATATCTATTTAAAATAGAAAGAAAAATAAATAAAGAAATATAAATAAAAAAGTAAAAAAAAATTTACATTTATTATTATACCCAATAGCCTATAAATTTTATTTTCATTGTTAAAATCTATTTAATTTGTTATAATGCGTATTTTCTCTATTTTTTGGTGCTAGTTTTTAATGAGATGTTTGGGAAAAATGAAAATAACAATACTCTGATCAATAATAGTAAAATCTATAGATAATATAAAAATATTGCATAAATAATAGAATAAAATATATTCTTATATATAGGATATTACGTACACATGACATAAAACTTATTACAGGCGCGTGGCAGCATCAAATATCCGAAACACCTCTTCAAAAATCCAGTATTTTTTGCCAAGTTGTGGAACGTGCAGGTAGGTTTCAAATTTCACGTTTAATTACTTGGAAACTTTTCAACATGGCTTCAAACTTTTACGTTTTGCAGCATAATTAATTTTAAATATAACATAACAAAATTTAAATTATTTGTATAGGATCGAAGTTCTATTGTTGTGCCAATTTAAATTATTATTATTAAAGTATTATATTATATATTTATTTTCAAGTTATCTCGATATTAACCTCTCTCTTATTTTGAAATTAATATCATTCCAGAATCTGAATTTCTGCCTTACTCTGCTTTATTCTTCATCTAAACTTAAGATACTTTTAATATTTATTTTTCATAATTCTCATAAATCAAAGTGACAATATTTATATATAAACAATCTGTTTTCATTTTCATTTCTTGACAATACATTATCATTAATATATAGATATAAATTTTATTCTTTTAAAAAGTGTCAAGATTTTTTAATTTATTCAATCACAAATATTAAATTAACCGATCGTTTAAGTTGTGTATCCCTACGATGCCGAAATGCAGTGGTGGGAGACAGCCACGTGATCGAGCGCGTGTTCAACAATAACAGCTGCACTGTTGCTGTTCCCTCAATTCACGCTCAGCCTCCGTCGAAGTCGGATCTTTAGTTCGTGAAGTCTTGAAGTGCAAATCTTTATTCGTTAAAAACAAGAAATAATAATATCAATCATTATTCTTAAATTCTTCAAAAGAATTCATGAACTTATTTTAAATCATCTTAATATAAGTCATATAGTGAAAATTTAGTTCATTAATACATATATCGTATCGTAGATTCGATCCAACAAATCGTACGATCGATTGTGAGATTTCAATTCAGCCAAAGACTAAGTCTGTTACGATCGATAAAACATATAATCACATAGCCGGGTCGTGGACCGTGGAAATCGGATTTTAATCGTCTCATTCGAAAATAGAACGGAACTCTCGATTCGGTGTTTGTGATTGATGTGCACCTGCAAGGAATCGCATTGGATGCTGTAAGCGATTGTTAGCTAATATCTCAACTTCGACGTAAAACGTATCGAGAAGGAACGATAAGCAGACGAGAAGAATGTTTTCTATTCGAAGATTAATCGTTGCCGTGTTTGGAGTTTGCTTGCTGACTGCTCTTCTCGAGGTAAAGAAACATTTAAAATCAAATATATTTAAATATAGATTTATTTTATTCTTCTTTAAGATTTTAAAGAATTATATAAATTTCGTAATAAATATTACGAAAATTATGTTATATTCTCCTCAAGATCTAATAATGATAATATATCTTAAACTAATATTCTCTCTATAAATTTTGTCTTTCATAACATAACCTAATTTAATCTTGAGTTACAACTTAGATTGATAATTAATTTTACAAATTTAATAATTTTTATTTATAATTATTAATATTTCTTTATTATTGCTTTCGTTTGTCAAAGAGAATTAAGATATTATCTATATCGTTTATTCGAAACAGAATTTTTATTTCGTGTA